CCCATTGTACGGGCATCCTTTCCTTGTGAGAGATAATGTGACTTGGCTTGCGTTTCTTCTGCCGCCCTCTACGGCAGCTCTTCCCCCTATGCCGCTCAGGAATGCTTTTCGAAAGGGCGTTAGGAAATGCATTCCATTTTGTCTAAGGGGAAATGCTGATTAAATAGCTATCGACTCTCTTTAAGCTGTCTTTTACGGAGCTTTAATAGGTACTTATCTGATCCAGCGTTGCCAAACTTTCTATAGATATGATTCTGGGGCATCAGTACTAGTTTGATTTAAATCTTGAAGGCGGAAGGATTATGACAGCGAACAGCTAGGATGGTTAAATGAGTCTTGCCTCCAAGTAAATGGGGGTGCTCTGTCTTGATCAGTTGTCCCTGTAATTTTTATTGCTTTATGAAAAGGCAGTTCTTTTGGAGGGTGTGAGATTATGTGAAATATAAAAAAATGTGAATCTTTCTCTGTTCATTCTACATTTCAGGAAAATGTGCAACCCAGCATCTTGATTCTGCAGATACTGCAGGAAATGTTCTGCACATGGTCAGAGGCACTCACAATATTTCTGATTAAGATCAACAGATAATTTGGTTGCTACTTAGTGCTGTACTTCAGGATTCTAGTTAGGTTTCTATTACATTATTCCAGTGACTAGAATGAATGTGTTACCTCTAAATGAATTTTTCTAATCCAGACATATAATCTAGGCAATTAAAGAGCTGGGTGAGTATTTTCTGTGTTGGTGAGGTAGTAAGAATAGAGATGCAGGTCAGTGAAAAAAAAAATTAATAGAACAAGTGCATAGATCCCATGCTTCAAAAAAATACCTTCTCTAATCTCACAGTTTCCAGATGGGTTGGACTACAAATCCCATACTCCCCAGCTATTGGTCCGATCATTATAGGACTTGTAATTTAATGCATCTGGAAAGTGCCTGATGAGAATAAGCAATTTAAACACTAAAAAAAATGTGCTTTTGAAACAAGCAAATGACAAAAATTGTCATTGAAAGCTAGTGGTGACACCAGACATGCCATTCTTTGTAAATTGCTTGTTTCTTAAAAAATAATTTAATTAACAAATTACATAAGGATACTACAGTAAATTAAATTCTATCCTTCTCAACACGAGCAAGAGCAAATTAACTTCTCCATTTCCGTAAACATGGAGGGATTTTTAAAAACTGACATTTGAAGTTCTGCTAGAAATCACTGGGTTTTTTCTGCTGGGCTTTTAACGGTAATATATTTCATTCGTGTGTTTTGCATGTACAGCCAGCATGAGAGTGTTTGACCATAAAAAACGTAATAGAGAGAAAGCCTCTTTCAAGATGAGCCTCGTCTAGGACAGAAGAACTGCCACTTCCGTTGTTGTGTTGTTATGTGGTGTCAAGTCATATCCGATTTACAGCAACTTTTTCAAGATATTTAAGAAGTAGCTTTACTCTCCAGGTGCTGATAAACCACTCTGGATGTTGTTGGAGTACAACAAGGGTCATCTTGCTTTACTGTTGGATCTGTGCCATTCATCATAAAACCTGCAGATCTGGTAGAAGGTTCATCTTGGCAAATAAAACAATTTATTTCCACTTAAATGCAATGCAGAAAGATCGTGTATTTCCTTCCTATATACGCTTGCATTCAGCCCCAGATTTGCTAAAGCTTTGAAATAGCCCCGTGCCCAGTGTGGGAATCCTAGCCAGACGTTCGTTCCTAAAAACCTTGACAAAATGTATACCCTACTTTTTTTATTTTTATTTTTTGGTAGTTGAAGGATACACATGACAACATGGACAGTGGCGGGCAAGCAGCCAGCAACGCATTTTTGTGGGTTAGTGATTCTTTATGGACTTCTTTGCAAAGTTGAGTTTGCTAACAGGAAGAGCTGCTACTAATGAGCAAATGTAGATTGTCTCGGCTAAATGCACATGAATTGCGCCCCTAGAAAAAAAAATACCCAAGGAAAGGAGGGGAAAAATGAGGCTCTTTATTATGCAGGATTACTAGGAAAGCAATAATAAGTTCTAGATTTTTTGGCCTGCAGCAAAATTGCTTCTCCTTTTTCTGTGTGGACTAAATGATAGGCATTCATTTTTATAGGAGAAAATAAAGGGATTACTTGAGGAGCAGACTAAACGGGCTCTTCTCCCAAAGCACCCTGCTGACAGATTTGCGACTGCCTTCTATATACCCATATTTTGGGTTTGTTAGGTATGGGGGTTTTTTGGCCTTGCGGGAATACGATAGAAACAGCTACGTATATGGAATTTCAGAGAACTGTCTCTCATATCCCAAAATGAGGGATGTGAAAAATACTTGTTGAAATTCTCAGTTTTGTCCATTTAGGCTATGCCAACACGACAAGACACCTGAACAAGGAATTTGCAAGTCTGTCAGATTCCTTGGCTCCAGTGCGAGAGTGAGACATAGAGCACTTTATTTTTTTTACCCTCTAGTTGTTCCACAGTTTGCAGAAAAACACCTCAGCAAAACTAGCATGCTTTCCTCCCTCCCTCCCTCTCCCTTTCTCACACACAAACACACACACACACACAAATACACACACACAAATGCAGAATGGATACAGAAGGACTGGATGATTCTTCAGAAAGGCACAGTTTTTTAACTTTCCCTTCAAAGGCAACCACTTTGTTGTTGTTTAGTCGTGTCTGACTCTTCGTGACCCCATGGACCAGAGCACGCCAGGCCCTCCTGCCTTCCACCGCCTCCCGGAGTTGGGTCAAAGTCATGTTGGTAGCTTCAAGGAGACTGTCCAAACATCTCATCCTCTGTCATCCCCTTCTCCTCTTGCCTTCACACTTTCCCAACATCAGAGTCTGTTCCAGGGAGTCTTCTCTTCTCATGAGATGGCCAAAGTCTTGGAGCCTCAGCTTCATGATCTGTCCTTCCAGTGAGCACTCAGGGTTGATTTCCTTCAGAATGGATAGGTTTGTTCTCCTTGCAGTCCAGGGGACTCTCAAGAGTCTCCTCCAGCACCACCATTCAAAATCATCAATT